TTTCGCTGCGCTGTCAGGCTGAGGGCAGCCAGCCCACTGCAGTGCTGCACCACTCCTGGTGGCCTTACATTGAACGCTAAAGCTCCCCTTGATGCTGCTTTTGGGGAAAGCGCAGTAAAATGTCTAGTTAGAAAGGAAACCTGGACATCTTAAAATTCAGTATGGTCCCAGAATATATGTACTGCAATTTCTTAACTGTTACTACAGAACTACCTCCAGTTACTCTGAAAATTGTTTCTTAAAGCTCTTACAGTAACTGCACATGGGTTACTCTTGAAACAATCTCCAAATGTGTGTTTTTGAATTCGTCTTAGATTTTGTTACTTGTATATAGTTCAGTTGAACGGTTCCTGCGAAGCTTTTTCAAAGCATGAGGGCAAAGGCAAATTTTCAAACCACTAGTTTTAGTCTTCAGTATCAAATGGAGCCTGGCTTAAGTGATTAGGCAGATATGGGAGTGAGTTACCTCTCATACCGAATGATGGACAAAGGACGTGTGAAGTTAGGAAATAGTGATTTGTTTCATGCAGTAAACCAGAGCTAACATGGACAGGTATTGGACTAGAAGGATTTCTGGAACAGCATTCCAGTGGCAGTCAGACTGGCACGACTGCCTGTTGGTCAAGGCTCTAGTGGAAAATAAGCACTGCATTGATGCTGCCTGGTGCAGTTTACTCAGCAGATAAATTGCCTTTACCATATCAGTGACCAAATTCTGCCGAGTCTTTACGGTGGGTGCAAAAATCAGGTATCTAAATACTAGACCTGGTTTACCTTCCTTCTAAATATTGTCTAGAATCTTGTGGCATTGCATCTTTGCGAATACTTTATCCCTAAACGTGGTACTGCCCTTATCATAAAAACAGTTCTAATGTAGGTGCGGGGTTTCAGCATATCCTGTGCAAAAACTGGGTTAGGGCCATCTTTCTTAAGAAATCCGGAAAAGTAATGGCTCCAGTATTGGTGCTTTTGTACCTGCATTCCCAGATTAATTTTTAATTTTCTTTTCCCTCTTAACTGTTACAGAAAGGGTACACTAGCACATTAACATATTTCCCTCATTAAGCATATAATGAGCTAAAACTACAGCTGCATTTTTAATTGCTTTCCTAAATGATTGGGAGAGGGAGAACCTTTCATTAAAATTTTAACTCCTGATGTGATTTGTTACAATGATTACCTCATTGGATCAGTGTCATGGATGTTCTTTTATATGTGTTTCTTCTCCTTATTAGGTGGGGGGAATTAAAGACAAAGTTCTGGCTGCACACCGAGCTGGACTGAAGAGAATTATCATTCCTCAGAGAAATGAAAAGGATCTTGAAGAAATTGCAGTGAATGTACGGCAAGATTTGACTTTTGTTATGGCAAGCTGCCTGGATGAAGTTCTTAATGCAGCTTTTGATGGAGGCTTTGCAGTTAAGCCCAGAGTTGAGCGCTTGAATAGTAAACTTTAAGCAGTCAGGCCAAGATTCCATCTGTATCCAGTTTCAGAGAGATCAAGAGTTATCAATGTATCAAGTAGAACTATGAGCTAAACTTGATTGTTTAAATGTGAGTGTAAATGCAAATCAAAATAAAAATACTACTACAGCAGTTAACAATCCAAAACCACATTTTACAGGCATTTTACTAACATCAGCAAAGAATCACGTAAAAAAATACTCCTTTTTACTGATAAGATAAAAGCACAAGAAAGCTGAGGCTGCTGAGAAAGAATCCTCAGCTCATCTGGCATATCTGTATATAAATCTTTAAAGAGGATGCATCCACAAAGAGGGAATAATACACAATTCTGTGAGCTGTAGCTAGAGAACACAAATTGCAGCAACCGCAGCTCAGCAAGAGTCCAGTATACCGAAAGGTAAACTGATTTAGCCTAAGAGTTTACTTATTTAGGAAATAGCAGTCAATACGCTAAGAAGGAGCAGCAGCAGGGAAAAAATAAGGGGTTTGAAATCTAAAAAATGTGCTCATGGGATTTGAACAGAAGTAATATGGTCTGAGTTAAGTTACTAAGTCCTTTCAGCCCTCAGCTGTGGTTTGTAGCAAGGTCTATGCAGACATCATTTTTCAAACCCGAATGCAGGAACCTACTCCAAAGAACTAATTGAAATGTTCTAATTCTTATGCTGGGAGGGAGAGGGCACGGTCAGGTTCAGGTACACACAGCTGTATTTACAGCACCAGGAGGAGGTGGAGCACATTGAAAACTATGAAAAAAGCCTGGTCACATTCTAGAGGGACAACGTGCATGCTCTTCTTTCTTACCTGACACAAATCACCTTGAGCCTGGGCTGCCTATGTTTCGAGTTAGCCTATAAAGAGTAAATCATTTAAACAATGCCAAGAGAACACTGGATCATCATGCTGCATTAGGTACTGCACTCTGCAAGTGCAGCAAGATGGAAGTAAAAGTGATATAAGAAAAATCAAGCAGGTTTAAGAAAAAGCCTGTATCAGTGTCCTATCTGTCTATCTCAGCTGACAGCTTTGTCTCAGCTTCCCTTAAATGTGAGTGTGGGGAGGATTTTAAACTCTTCTAATGTAAGATCCTTGAGTTTTTTAGTGTTTCATGCTATGGTCAACCACAAGGGAACCCCTGTATGTTAGTCTTATCCTGCTCATTTATTCTGAAACAAACTCGAGTATGGTCATGAAATGCAAACTGTGTCTCTGACAAAAGCTATTACCAGAAGCAGCCTATAGATCAAAAGTATAATTTGTTTTGCTTTCATTTCCGTAGACAGAAAGCTGATTTACCTGGAACATAACAGCACCATAGTAATAAATTCCATGGGTATTTCTGTACCTGATTACAAAAGATTTTACAACTGTCACCGAAGACTTAATCTTTATCATTAAAAATGATAAAAATAAAACCCCTTTTGTTTCACTGTTTTAAGAATTCTACTTCAGTCATTCACTAGCCACGTTACAAGGGTAAGTGGCAACAACCACCGAGTCTCAGAACGCCGTCTGCCTTACAAAATACTTGAACACAGAATGTGCAAAGGAACTAGACAGTGAAACACCTCTAAGGTACATCACTAACGCACTGCTTCACCTCCTGCAATCTTAAAGCACTTCTGCAAACAACTAGCAAAAAATGTCAGACAGAACCCAAACATTAACATCCACGTTTGCCAATCATTTTCCTTTAAGGCTTTTTTTTCTTTTTTCCCTAAGGACAATGAAAAGCAATAGCAAATGGGCTAGCAAACACAAGACCTACTGCATTTCATCCCATGTAATAAGGACAAATGCGAATACTCACTCCCAATACAGCAAAGTAAAACAATGCTTTCTAGAATAAATAGCTAATGCTAAGACAATGCCAGACTTTAATACACCATTTATTTTAAATAAGGTAGTGAACTGTACAGACTTCTAGTATGTTTTCTGTTTCCATATCAGAGTGTAATGACTCACCATATCCTCAAACTCTTTATAGAGAAGAGCCACTGAAACAGGCTTCTAATGCTTTTGAGGATCTGGGCCTAAGGATATTCCCTAATTCCATCTAATGACAGACATCAAATGTTCCACAGAGATTTCTTAACAAGACCAGAGAGCTGGAAAGAAGCTGACCTCAGGAAGCAAACGCCAGTCCTAGGCAGGTGATCACACACGAGTCAGTGTATCCCTCAAAATACCAAAAAAGTATTTAGCCAAGTTTCTGTCAAAAACCAGGAGACAAACCAGAGGTAAATGTAGACAGGGTTAATTAGGTGAGAGTAATAAATGAATTTAGAAGACTGCAAATAATTACTGTATATTCATGTGGAAAAAGATGCTAGATTGCCAGATTTCTGAAGCATTTATCTACTGTCACAAGGCACCAGTACATCTTTTAAATTAAATCTCTGTGCAGTTTCAACAGCCTAAATATCAGATTTTAAGAGAAACTTTTACTACATGAAGCCAGCTATTTCTGTAGTATTTTATTAATCCAACCTGATGGATTTTATGTTCTTTACCCATACTTACCTCATCATGCATCAAAATAGTAAGAGCAAGAGTTATCTTAATAAAGCAACCTCTGACAAGAAAGTTAAGACAGTGCACAGTAAATAAAACTGTATTTTAATGGGTTACAAAAGTAGTTAATAGGCAGCCTGCCTCCCCAACCACATGTCCACGAGGTTTGACAAAGATCTCTTTCAAACAGCTTTTCACCTTAGTCTATTCTGTGTGTCTATGCTCCGGAACACAAATACCATATACATTCATGGTTCAATCTTTCACATGCAGACGGTCTGTGGAAAGCCTAGTATCCTTCAAAAGCCTTTCTGGCTGGGGAGTCACACCTGTAGGAGACTGTTTGCATTGTAATGTCCGTCATGTCACTAATATACAGAAATCAGTTCAAGACAGTTCCTTTAGTAACAACGAAAAGCCGTGAAGACAAGAAACTGAGCAAGAGTATCAATGTGTCAAACTTTGAGCTAATGCAAAAAGCAGAAGTTGGGTTGTTTTGTTTTTAAATTTGCCAGGTATTCTCTTAATGACAAATACAAAAAGACTGAAAGCATCTCATTCTGAATGCCTTTTTTTTAAGCAAATGGTCTGGGTTTGTAATTAAAATACTGCTTAAGATAATACCTTCTTTGTACTGCAAACAACAAATACAAGGATGCAATCAAGTTTCTAAGCATCTCTAAATTTGAAGCGTGAATTATTATTGTTTAAATTCAGAAAATTCTTTGTCATTGTTCCTTTTTGGTAGAAGATAACTCAAAGTACAACAACATCTTGACCTGTTTTTAGAGGAGCTTTCTTTCCCAATACATCTTTCAATAGAAGTACTTCTTTTGAGTTCCGTACATTCACAAAATAGCTCAATTAAGAACAGCATCACCAATGAATTGACTACTGGAAAGAGACAAAATTTACCAAACATACAGAAATAGAAGTTTTACCATAGCAATTATGCATATCAAAAAATGACACCGGTAATTAATTTTAAAAAGATACAAAAAAGAGAAAAACCTGAATTACAGAAAAGAAAGTCATATTTATTTAATGAAAAACTAGAAGTTAATAAAAATTAGCAAATACACAAAAAATATACACAAACAGCAGCAATACTATGTAGTGACTTACAAAGGAGGCACAGGGAGGGAGGGAAGCAGTGGCCAGAGACTAGACCACTCAACATGGCTTGTCAGTCAAAGGGGGGAGGAAAAAAACACAAACAAAAACACGAAACAGTATCCTTTTCAACAGTACAATCAATCTACAAACAAGTTTTTAGAATTATTTTACAACATTTTCTGTAGAATCAATTCTTAATACAAAAGATGCCCCTTTTGGGTGTATATATTTTCAGTGGTTTACTGTTGACTTAAATATATTAGTGTTACTACATGCAACTGCTTCTTGTAATTTAACAGCCTTTCCTTTTATTTACCTTCATATATGTCTACCCTCCATCTATCAAATAATTTGTCTGACAGTCAAAGATGGTTACCCTAGTTTAGGCTAAATTAAATGCAATGGTTTAAACACTGGCCTCAAGAGGTTGGATTGCCATTTCAACACATGGATATAGTTACATTGATGCCTAAATTGCCATTTTCTGCAAAGAGCTGTGCAATGCTGGTGTCAAAGACTAGACAGTCACTATTCATAATGGCTGTTGCAATTCCCTCATGGATAGATCGAGGAGTTGCTTCCCAAGTCAATCGCCGTCTATGACCATTTAACTCCAGTCGATAAGCAAAGTTTTCTGCTTGCTTGCGGGTTCCTATCAGCTGTACAATTGCAAAGAACTGCTGATGACCATCATACTTCTCCTGTTTCTCCAATACTAACATGAAATGAAAGCCAAAACAAGACTGCATCATAACCCAGTCAACAGCACCAGGAAGATTAATGTCTGTAGCAAGGAAGACTATATCTTCTCCCTGAAGTGTTGTAATGGACTTATGTTGATGCATCAGGTGTGGCATTACAGCATCCAGAGAACCTTGCCATTTACAGGAAGCACCAGGACACGGACAGGAATAAGGCCTAAACTCACACAGCTCCTCATGGTCTGCTTTTTCTGTGTGTGGCAAAGTTATCTCACATCCGGAAGAGGCATATTTACATGGGAATAGTACAGAATTGGCAACTTTCTCCATTGCCAGGTTACGAATGGAGCCCAGTGGGCCTCGGCAAGTTGGACAGCACGTAAGTTTGGGGCGACAGTTGCTACAAACAAGATGGCCACTCTGACACTGAAGAATTGGTGGAAGCACATAGTCAAAACACACAGGACACTCAAAGAGACTAGCCAAGTCATTATTGGAAGCTGTAGTGCCTGTCAGTGCAGGCACCCTCTGTGATGGTGTACACTTTGAAGTACCTGTAGGTAGTGCTGTAGCAGTCTGACGGCTCATTTCTGCAACAGAACAGAGAAAAAAAGAATGAATACCCAGAGACATATGATTTTCCTCTGCATATAGATTTGCTTGGTGTACAAAGAAACCTCAAAAGAAACCAGATACAAATGACAGCGAAAAACGCGCATATAATACAAAGTATGGATATGTTACATTGAGAATATCAGTTGTGCTGCATACACAAACACTTGTACAAGATGCAGACGTAACAAGTGAAGAAGTTCTTGTAATTATTCTGAAGTAGAATTTACTTATTGGAAGGGAGACGAGTAAAGATACACTAAAAGTGGAACTGAAATCCTCAAAGTTCGTTGTTGGTGGTTTGTTTCCGGGGGGGAGGTGGGGGAGGTGTGTGTTAATATTGCCTTTACAAAATACTCCACCCAGGTCACTGGGTGTAACTGGGAGCACTATGAAGCAATTCTAAGGCTGAATTTTAAGTTGCTGTATATTTAGTGACATAAGAAACCAGCCATGATCTTCCAGATATGACCTTCTCAGCAACCATGTTTACTGTGTATTTTTCATTTTAAATTGAAAACTAGTATCAAGGCAAACCACAGCTCAGAGATCACTGCACTGCTTTGTTCCCCAGGACAGGGCACTGACTCTTCATTTTCATTACTCTGTTACTAAGGCTTGTAACAGAGTAATGAAGCATCCATTGCTTCAGCTTCCTCAAGTAAACCATTTGTGAAGACACGAGAAAAGAAAACCCAAGAATTTTACTGAATTTCCCAAATAAGAAATTAAAAAGATTGAATTTGAGAATCAACGCTAACATCTTAGAGCTCAAACATTCTCAGTAACTTGAAGAAGCAGTGCTGTTGATTAAGTTTCATGGTCAGTGGAGTTCACACTGAAGTTCTGTCCTTTCAAACATCCCCATACAAAAGTTAAGACCTGCCTGACCAAGCACCTTGCTCAAGCATTCAACAGGCCAGCTAAAGTACTGATAGATGCACACCCCAACTCTCCTCCTTCCCATGCAGAAGAAATTACTAGTACTATCAGAAAAAATAAACACTCTGGTTTGAAAAGATAAACCTTGCCTTCCTAAGTGAAGGAAGTTAAGTTAAATGCTAACCAAAACTGGCATCCATTACACAGCAAAATTCTTAACCGTCTTAAGTGCTTCCCTACAAGTATACCAGCTCTGTATCTGTCACATACGTATAAAGCTTTCAAAATAAACCCCATCCTTAATCTCCTTGCTATCCGACATGGGAATATTAGGCAATAGGCAAGCTTCCCATATTTAGCATCATTTCACCCACAAACTTACTCATACTTGGACTAATATGCAGCATACTGTGCATGCTTTTGCAAGATCCGCTGTTCAGGGCATGCAGCAAAGGAACTAGGAGACGCCAACATAAGATAAACTTATCCCTTGACTTTCAAAAAGTAATCAGACCGGCAATTTCAAATTCTTCTACAGAAGCACCTCTCTCCGCAGTTGAGAGCTAGAAAAATACCGAGTGTCTAAGATTCAGTATTTGGTCACATGCCCAATTATAGTATCACTTCACCCTCAAAATCTCTTTCCTCATCTCAAGCTTCTTGGACTAGAGATATCCAGTTCCTCTTTTTTTTTTTTTTTTTTTTTTTTTTTTTTTGGGGGGCGGTGGGAAACAAAGCAAACATTGCTGGACCTTAACTGATACTGTAGAAATATGACAGGAATGTTTGTATCTTCTGGCTTCATTTCCCTACTGTAAGACATTCCAGCTTAGATGAGAAGTTTAAAAGCTTGTTTGATCTGTGACAAATGAAATAGATGTTCTGGGGAAGCAATGCCACATGAGCTTGTTGTAAGGGGATTCAGATGGTAAAGGTCTCTGTGAGAACTGAGCACTGCTGCTGTTTTTCTCCAGCACCCGTAGGTGGGAGACTCATTACGACACGCTGCAGTTCTACAGTCTAGAACAAATTATACACACAGAGTTATGGAACACGGGAGAACAAATTCTAGTCACAGTATTCACCTGGAAAGAGCTTAGAACCACAGACCAGTTTGGGTTGGAAGGGACCTTAAAGCTCATCCAGTTCCAACCCCCTGCCACAGCAGGAACACCTTCACTAGACCAGGCTGGTCAATGACCCATCACATGCATACTGATGTCGAATTCTAAGCGTGTTTCTCTTCGGATATTGTAAACGTATACATTTCAGAAACGATTGTGTGTGTTTCATTTTCCCTGAACCTAGGGGCCCTGATGCAGGGATCCCCTGTAACCCACAGATAACACTGGTGAACCCACTGTGTTAGACCAGTTCCCTGGGCAGTCTGACGAGCTGAGTGAGCTTTCTTTAATTACACCTCTCAGGGCCCATTCAACAGTTAAATTAAGCAACCTACAAACTTTGCAGGAGACCTTGTGCACACAGGTACTTCCCGCTTAAAACCTTCTAAGCCTCCAAGCACTAGAGAAAAGAACCATAGTACTGGAGTACCAAAGTACTAGAGAAAACCATACAGCCCTGTTTTATCAGTGTTTCTGTGTGCGACCAACCTTCACACACAACTTCCGCAGCTGAGACTGTCCAAACTAGCAGAGAATGAAACTGAGCAGGAATCTGTGAACCAGGCCATTGAGATCAGCATGCAAGGAAGAAACTGGATAAAGCTATAAACAGTAATTCACCAAGCCTAAACCTGCCCAAAGCCTAAATTTTCATCGCTCTTGTTAACACAAAGATGAATAATACATCATGATGGAAAAGTCAGAAGTTAATTTCTTACAGCTATCTTGAAAACTACAAGTTAATCACAAGCACAACTGTTAACAGCATAATATATTTAACCCACCAAACTATCAAGAACATAAAATTACAAACCAAGTAAAAATAACAACAGAACTGGAAATAAAACACATTTTTAGTTACAAAAGCTTTACTACAGGTAAAACCCCCTCAAATGCGCTATATGTTACCATCTCTCTTTGCATACAGTGGGACTAAGTCTCTAAGCAACAGTGACAAACTAAGGATAAGTGTCATTGTCCAAGTATTATTTCCTATAACACAAATTATTCACAAGATTGTACAAATTAGAAAAAACAAAGCCAAACCAAGAGGAAGAGTGAAAAGGGAAAAGTGCATTTTAAGATTTCCTAGTTCTAGATCAAGAAAAACTCCGTCCTTGACGCCACCGAAATGCACCGAGCTGTTGATGGAACTGTTGCCAACACGGTTCTGGGGAGAGGTGAGCTGCACACCCTACCGAGGCATGATTTCAGAACTCCTACAGAACAGCTTACAGTCCTGCGCACACCGCGAGTCACAAGTCGCTACCTTTCCCCTTGCTGGCGTTACTTCCCGGCAAGCAGGCACACAGCACTCCCTTCCACGAGTGCGGCGAGCTGGACGCCGATCTCCCCGTCATGGGGAGCGGAGGAGATCATCGCGCGTCCGCGCGGCCGGCGGCGCTCGGGGCTGCCCAGGGTGCACAGATCCCCGGCGGGACCCT